GCCGTATAGTGGGACTTCGGGAAGCTGGACTTTCTTTTCGGGCAATTGCAGTTAGAGTGCAAAGAAGTGTAGACACTGTGGTTAGGTGTTGTCAGGCATGGCTTCGAGAAGGCCGTACGCAAAGAGCAAGGGGCACTGGACGCCGCCGTAGAACAACAGACCGTGAAGATCGCCGCCTAAGATTATTGGCCTTAAAGACCGTTTCTCCACTACCAGGTCCATTGCAAATGAATGGTTTTGCAGAACACGGAAAACCTATTGGCATGCGAAGTGTTTACCGACGAATGAGAAGTTTTGGCTTGTTTTCATACCGGCCACACTGGGTTCTCCCTTTAACTCGAGAACACCGACGTAATCGCCTTGAGTGGTGCAGACAACGGTCACTCTGGGATCAGGAATGGAACAGTATTGTCTTTAGTGACGAGTCTCGATTTTGTTTAGGCATGCACGATGGTCGTGCCAGGGTTAGAAGGCGACGTGGTAAAAGGAGGAATCCACAGTTTTTTGTTGAAAGACATGTTCATCACACTGTTGGAGTTATGGTTTGGGGTGCTATAGCTTATGGTTCCAGGTCCCATTAATCTTCATCAGAGGTAACATGAACGCGAAGCGTTATATCCTCGAAGTTCTAGAGCCCCATCTTTTACCCTATCTTGACACCCTGGCAGATCCAACTTTCCAACAAGATAATGCCCGACCACATGTTGCAAGAGTCACAATAGACTTCTTTCAACATAATGATGTCACATTGTTACCATGGCCACCAAGATCTCCCGACTTATCCCCAACTGAGCACGTGTGGGATATGATGGGTAGGAGATTGCTCAATTTGCAACGTCCTCCTCAGACTCTAGAAGCACTTCGAGAGGAGTTGGTGGTTGCCTGGAATGAGATACCACAGGAGGACATTGACCACCTGATCAGAAGCATGCCTAGGCGCGTTGGAGAATGCGTAGCACATCAGGGTGCATCCACACATTATTAAAGGTCAAAGGGCTTTAAAGCAGTGCAATCATTTTGAAATTTTTATCATTTACTTATTATGCTTCATGAAGTACTTATACAAAATTTTATTAAAATAAAACCATTTAAACTGGGTGTTCGGATTTATATGTCACTTAGTATATTATGCTGCAAACCATTTGAACCGGCAGAGTATTGCTTTTCTACGACTCTGGTCTGCTAAATTACCCTGACCACATCCTTAACCACACTTTCATCATTGACTGGCCGGTGAAGGGCAGGTGACAACAATGCCACAAACATCGATTGTAAAAAATACAAAAAAGATACGTAAGCCACGGGTGTGCATGACGCTGACGCTATTATTGAATTAGCCTGATGTTCTCATACCCCGCAATTAAGGGCCGCTTTCAGCTGTACGTCAAATTTTTTGGGGGTGAAATATGATGAAGCATCATCACCTAGGAGTGTGTCTGCTGTTCATTGAATAGTCCGACGCAGATGCGCCGCTCAGTGAGATATAAGCGTTTTGTATACATTGTTATAATTAGGGAGGGCTTGTATCTATTTCGGACAATGCATACTTGAATCAGACGCGTAGTTTTTCCTGGTCCAGGTACCAGGGGCGATACATAGGATCCACCATTTTCTACAAGCTTCTTAATGTGGTCAGTGTGTAAAATGGGAAAATTAACTATAGGATATGTGGACATTTTGAGTATTCCACTTCGTTGAGATTCTGTGCTAAACTACCGACTTTGAATCTGTATATGAACTGACTCTCATATTGAGCCTGTATGCTCCAATATCTGAGTGATCCTCATTAAGAGGTAAAATAGATTAGACAATAAGTTGTATTGATGTTGGTATCATGGTTACAGTGACAGAAAGCAGACAGATTCATTTCAGCTTGTTATCAATTTGCCAGGCTTCGTCTCCTCGTCAATACCAATGAACAATATGCCAACCAAAGGTGACAATTTATATATAATATATAGTAAGTTTTATTTGGCGGCAAAGCTCGAACCCTAAATATGCCGTATCAATTCAGAATCAGTTCAGATACCTTAAACAGTATTTCCTCGTTAAGACACTTGCTTGAAACTCGATAGAGAATCGTGTATTCTTGCAATAAGAATGTACACATGTAGGGCGTAGGAGAAAATAAGACAAATCCCAAAGGGCACAGACCTCAGAACCCAGAGGCTGAGGGAACCCATATAAGTAATGCGAAGAGCACTCTATACGTATATCGTATATATATTTTGGCTCTCTCTAATGACTACTTGACGAGGAAAGTTTCTGAATTCAACAATGGGCTTCAGCCAGATGAATCATCCAGGGCCTGAATTGTAATACATTCTAAAGAGATTCACAAAATTGATTTGCAATTTAATTCGACAGTAAATCGTCTAAGCATTAAATAAAATAACATTATTTGTAAACGGAAAATTCTACCGTCAAAAGTTCTTCAAAGTTATGGACTTCCGTTAAGTATCATACTAAAATTGTGAAAGAAGAGACAATTGAATAAGTGTGCCAGTTACTACCGGATATTTGAGATACATGAGAGTTAACCAAACGTGACTACTACTACTCACAAATTTTATATTATATTTTCAGCAACACACTGATTAAGTTTTGAATTCTCTTGGTTGGTGTCTGGTCAATAGAACCACATGAATTCACAGAATCTTCCTTAACGTTTTAATTGAAAAGGCCGTCTTCTTCAGTACAATATGGGGGATTATCGACAGGTAAAGGGATAAGTTTCGGATGTTACATTGTATATTATTTAAATAACTAACTGTATCCAATTACTCGTACTACGGCTAGGCTGGAACTAGGAAAATAGAATGCTATTTTCTAGTAGTGTTACAAATCAAATGTTATCTTTGTTGTCTGGTATTCAAAATAAATGGTCACATCATAAAATACAAAGACAATACGTACCTCAGTTCTTGTCTACTCAGTTCCCCTCTTAAGGACAGTCGAGGGACTTACAAATCAAACCCATTACTAGCAACATTAAGATATTAAACAAAATACTAACAGAGACATTAGTATTATCAAGTTTTCGTTTCTTAGATTTCTCCTAAATATTAACTGTTTGGGGATGTTTTGAATAAAAGCATTTTTTGCGAATGTTGATACTCTTTAATAGCGAGGTAATAGCTTATTTCTAACTTCCAGAAGTACTTCAAATACTTAAGTGCCTACAAAATTTCAGTCTCCGATTGGTTTAATCTTTTTACGATGTATATTATTCTAACTATTATCTAAATAACTAATTCTTCCCCCTTATAATTTATTCATGCTAATGTCCCGCTGATCGGAGCAAGTTAAGCTGGTCAATTCTAGGTATGTTAAGAAAGGATTATCTTTGTTATCTACTTTTAAAATGCATAGCCACCTCATAAAATATAAACACAATACCTAAGTTTCTGTCCATACTATTCAGGGTGTTTCAAATTCGACCCTCACGGTTGGGATCTCGCAAACCCTAAGAGATACGAAGTCGCTTGAGGAGGCAAAGTTGCGTATTTAGTTAATCAACAAAATGCCGCTTTGAACGTTTCGAAATTCGAAGTACTTGCTGGGAGAGAGCGGAAGAACGATTTTTCCCAAGATCGTATTAATTTTTTCCTGACTCTATTTGAGACGGGATTTTAAAATAAATTGCAAGTTACCATTGTAACTTATTCTCATCTACAAGATGGCTTAGTCAAATTTTCGATTCGAGAATTTTTCTTTCTTCCATCACCAATTCTGATTTTTCATATGGACGCTATATTCGAATTTTGTATTTAAATGGACTTGTCAGTCCTAAATTCAGTGATGTATTTCCTTAGTTTTCCATGAATTTGTTGACGAATGAAAATTATAAGGAAATTAAAAGGTATGGTGAAACCTGAACATAACATGAAAATTTTATTGATGGTAATAACAATAATAAAAATAAGTATGCAGAGATAAATCATGGCAGATGTTCAAAATGTTCGTTGTTTTGTAGGCAAACCCTGATTCTTTTATGTACATTGTTCACTTCACGATTTATTTCTTTTCTTCTCAGTCTTCCAATCTGTGATAATTCTGGAATAACTGAGGGTTAGCAATTCCAATGTTTAACAAACATATTTTTGTAATCAAAATGAAAAACTATTCATCTGCGCAAAAATCCAATATAGCGTCCATAAGAAGAGACAGACAAGAGACGAAACGTTATATTGGAATTCTGATTATACTATATTGTAGAAGATAACAAGTGGCAATATGTGTGTGCAATTGATTTTGAAATCCCACTACAATTAAAGCAAGGGAAAAATTAAAACGATTTTGATAAAATTCCTTTTGTCCGTCTTTTTCCGGAAGTATTGTGCATTTCGAAACTTGCCAAGGAATTTGTTGATTACCTTAATACACACCTCGTCCCCGTTTAAGCGACTTCAGATCTCTTACAGTTACCGAGATCCCAATGGTGAGGGTCGAACTTAAAACACCATGTATAATCCACAGCGAACCAAATTTGATACATATAGCAGGAAGCTAACAGAAATATAAATGAAATTATTTACAAATATTTCATCTATCTTCGCATCCTATTCCAAGATTAGAGCTGCATGAGGATATTTTAAATTTTGCAGTCTCTGTTAACGAGGTGGGAGCTTGCCTCCGGGATGGTTTATTGATAACTTCCAGGTATTGTTCATTCAATAAGTTGCAATAGATGGAATTCATGTATACTCTGTAATATTTAAGCGACTACTAAATTCTACCCTTTACAATTTATTCATACAGAGACTGATGGGCTGATGCGAAGAAAATAAAATGTTCTATTGTATAGGAGTGTCACAAAACAAAGGTTATCTTTGTTATCTGCTCTTCAAAATGCATCGTCACATTATAAAATATAAACACAATACGTGAGTTCCTGTCCATTTCACCCAACCCCTCTTCATGGAAGTAGAGGGGGCTACAAACCCAACCCACCACTACCAACGTAGGTATTGTTGCCGCTCTCGGTTTTACCTTAGGCTTACGCTCATTTTACACCGCGCGTTTGCCGTAGACGTTGCTAATCCTTACGTTCGCTTTTGGTTACGACTCTGACGCGAAAGACGCGCTGTGTGACTTTCTCCTTTCGGCGTTTAACTTCCGTTTTTAAAAGTATCTACGCCGAGATGGACTCGGTCGTTTGTAAAATCGTTGTTTTGGAGTCCAAGCACGAACGCGCCCTGAAACCCAGAAGATCGTTCGATGACAACTTCAAGTCTACCAAGACCGGGAGCATCAAGCGATGTCTGTTTGGAGTTCCAGATCCCTGTGATACTGATAAGATGGTCCAGGAACAGTTGGAGACTGATAGGAAGAGGTTCATCGATAGGTTTGGGATTGATTTGAAGGAAGTTGAAAGGGTAGAAACTGTCAAGGATGAAGAAGAGGTGGAGGTTGATGAGAATTCGTGTCCGCAGAATAAGAGGAGGAGGATTTTGAGAGGGTTGAGGAAAATGTTGAGACCTGTCATTTGCAGCAGTAGCAGTAGTCGGAGTCCAGGTATGATCACCGGTAAGTAAAGCTTGCTGTATATATTATTTTAGGGGATACTGGGCAAATATGTCTAAATTATTATAATTAATTTATAAATCGGAGTTGTGATAAATAATATGAAAACAGCCCAAACCACTTGTCTCTAAAGCCCCTAGTCGTTTTTTTCTGCTTATCAATGTTCGCGAATTAACAGGGGATATGTGGAAGCAAATCTCAGTTTATTATCTCACTTATATGACACCCACTACCATTATTGTGTCAAGTAGGCTGACTCACCATCTAACTAGTGTTTATGTATAGTATAGGATTATTGAACTGGTGAGGTACTATTTTCTAAATTGAACTAAACGTCATTTCCATGAATTCTAAAGCTTAACGCATCACTCTTAGAATAAACTTACTAAACGCCATATTTTTCTGTAAATAAGGTTTATCCAAGCTTCCACTATATTCACGGGATTTGCATTGCCATATAATCATATTGTTAAGTGACATTATCGCGTTGTTGCACACAAACCGCTTGCATAAATGAACGCGCTCAGAATTTTCTTCGATTTCTGTCTACTACAAAAATACATATGTATTTGGCATTAGCTTATGCAACATATAAAGAAATATGCTGGTTACAGTGTAGCAAGACTTCGCTAACGTAACAGCTGACTCACAAACCTTCACTAATGTATAAAATAGAGAAAAGCAAAAGTTTTTTTCATTCACAAGATGCATCAGATGTTTGAGTTTAGCCCGAAGTGCGTCAGCTGCCAAGCATGGACAATTATGCGAAGGCAATTTGTATGGAAACGATGAACATTGTGCTTGCTTTGAAATATGTAGCTTTTGTTCGTACTAAAAAACAAACAAATAATTCGGTCCTCTTAATTGAACAAACGATGAATGTCAAACTATTACAATGAATAATTGACAACAGGGACACTGCGTCTACCACAAATCAACGATTGACGCTTTTTTCAGGAGCATATTCAAATCGGACGTCGGTTTGCATCTGGGCGCGGCTTGATCGCTCAGGGATGCGTACATTGTATCAACCCTAGTTAACCGGGTTAACCCGCACAAATCTGACTTTACTAGACGTTCATCGAATAGTTAAATTGTTGCTACGTCCATGACGGCTGTGGTCAAAAACTGGATTGCGATCTACGTTTCATAATTTAACATGACATTACTTTTATCTGAAACGTGCCATTGTGGCTTAGCCATCACATATAGCATCATAGTCAGCATTATATTCAGTTTAAAAGTAATTTATATTTTTTTACTTCATCATTGGAAAATAGCTCTAACAAATAGCTCTTTTGCAAATGAAGAAATGGTAAGACCTAACACCTACTTTATTTTTAAACGATCCATCAACCAAAACTCATTATAAAAAGTATGAAATACGTAAGATTTTAATAATGCACTGCTTCTCATCATAAGCTTCTCATTAATCAAACTCAACACTACGGATTTATCCGTTAATCGCAGTATAATAACTCAACCACTACTTTACTCAAACTCTGCTCTTACCCAACCGACTCTAGTCAACCTCGACTCCAAGTCATACATCCTAAACGCAGCCCAGGATGCTAGAGTTAAACCAAAGAGTAGTTACAACACTTCGTGAGATCCGAAGGTCTCCTCCATTGACATTGAGTTTCTCTTGCGGTATAGGAAGTTTGTTTTTCATCATCGGGTACTGATATGATACGATAAAAGCTCGTCCAATCTTGCGTATGTTGATGCTAAACAGCAAAATTGCTCAAGGTGCTGTAACCAGTACGTGATCTATTTCTGGCTTACAAAGGAAACAGGGATCTATGAGCGGGACGTCCGTGGTTTGCCCATTCGCTCCTAGACGGTTCGATATTTTATCAAAGATCCGCGCGTTTCGTTCATAGGTTCAGTTCAGTTCTTTCTACGGTTTTTGGTGGTTGCGTTAAAAACTCATGTTTGCATGACAAGAGGAGCACTCGGAACAGTGTGATTTATATCGTTATTGAACTGGAATTATGTCTCGTAAACCGAAAACGGTTGATAAATGTCCCCACCATAAATAAATGTCCAAAGAAATGTAAATTAGATAGAAGAATGATTTCATGACATGTGTTGGAAAATGAATTTATCCAAAAGGGATTATCTATTAGCCAACACCGCGCTTATCTCTGACCAAAAAGAAACAGCGCATGTTTAGACGTCATCAGCTGTTGTGTTGACGCCATGTTTTGGGTTACATCAGCTATCCCCTCTAGTTCAATCTTCTTCCTTTGATATAACTACGCCTTAGTAACTTCACCGTTTTTGCTTGAACAACTTTATCCTCTACTGGGTAATGCCCTCTACTGGTCGCTTCGATCTGAACGCGCTTCAGCATTCGACATAGAGGGGGTAAACATTCCAAAATAATTCTAAAAGTGCAACGATTTTAAAAATCCGCCATAAATCATAAAGTAGCTCATTGCTATATACTGCGCAAAACGCTGAATGTGAGATAAATGCACGCGTCCATTTTACATGCATCCGAATAATTTTGTCCCTATTCTTTTTCGATACCGTTAGGATTGAGGACAGTGGAATACGTTACAGCTAAAACTCACGATAATAAAAGGCGGGCTAATCTCATTTTATTAACTTTTATGCCATAAGTGGAAAAAGCTTAATTCACGATACCATGGCTAAACAAGATGTTGCTTTCTCTGGATAAATCTGTCGACTCACCTTTGTGGTCAATGGTACGAAACCCACCTTGAAGATTGAGGATGATTCGGATGTCGATGTAGGAGAATATATTACCAACTAAAATATAAATATTTCTCACATCCTTTCTAAAGTATTTAGAATTGGATCACAATTCGAAATCTTTAAAATGACAAAAAAGGGTAATTCTGTCACAAGCTTCAATGCGGTATTCCGATAGCTTTTATGGAGAAAGCTCTGTATTCGGGTAGGGGAGATCGGTGATGAATACTTATAGATGGCTAACTTTCTGCCTCGAGGTTTGACCCGCGGAGCATGCAGGTGACGCCACGATTTTCCAAGCATGGAAGTGGGCCGTCAATTTATGAATGTCATCAAACGCAAAATAATACGTCTGTATAGCTATCCCATGACGGGTACAGGTTGGATGGGACGATGGCATGCCGCGCTGTTGCTGGCTTGACACTGACGCTGAAAATGTTTGGCACTTGCAGCGTGAAATCGACTATGAGTTCGCAGATACAAGACAAGCATGACATGCTTATAACCTTCATCGGATGCCAACTAGTCTAGTAAGTGTAGATATTCTCATGTGTCTTCGTATTGTGTTATGCTGACAAAATGGGCAAATGCGCGTTGCCAATATGTTACACCAGTTCCTTGAATTAAGATGCATGTTGAAAATATGCGTGAGTTTATGCTCTACGCCCAAATACTGGTTTTACTTTGAACGCACACATTTTTAAATTATGAATTGTGTCGAATCTCTTTAGGATCGATCCCAGATTGGTCCCAACGGCGCTTAATTTTTGGTCGAAATGAATGGTCAGAATCTCCATAAATTCTGTAACATTACATCATTGGTTTGCTTGGCAACACCACATCTCGTACATTCCAAGGCAAGGCTTCCACCTGTATGATCAGAGATGAACAATTCTGATCAGTACCCATCTCGCGCTCATTGGGGGTGTCGTGCTGCTTCGAAATGATTTTTACCTAGGTTATTTCTTACATTTTCTATTCGCAGCGCTGTCGTAAAATGTAACAATAACTCGGTGGAAATAAAACATAGTTCTAAAATAAATTGAAACTCCAAGTCTCATCAAAATTGAATTGAATAATTCTAATTATTATGAAAACAAAATATTAAATTAAATGTTCGAACAGTCGAGGTCTTCTTGAGTTTAACAGTAACCTAACCTAACCTACTGTGCGAACATTTTTTGGTGTAACATATTGGCAACGCGACAGATTACACGACCTTCTGCGTCACCGTTGCTACACAATGATGTGATGACCTTTGCTCTTCAGCCTGCTTCTATCTCTTTCTAACATGTGCTGATACGCACTTCTCGCGCTTCTTTCTCGTACACATTTAACTCAGCCTTCAGACAAAATGGGTTTTCCCTGTACCTATATATACTGATAAATGTCATTTATTAATAAATAAATGTGGATAACTGCTTGTTTGCGAGCTTCCCAAGATAATCGAAAAGTCAGTGTCTGGCAATCGCCTGGCAAATAATGATCTAAAGATTATATTTATATCTCCCCTTTGTTTAAAATCTAAGATTAATATACCAATCAATAACCTTTTACTTCTCGATTATCTCCAGTTAATAGTCGTAAGAAATTATAACGGAGTCAGCAAATATTTTACAGATGTCACTACAAGAACAGATCTCGTATATGCATGTTTTCTCATACGCATAAATTATTATTGTTTGTCTTTAACTTATCAGAATGGGCTGCATACAGCAGCCATAATAAAACAACCATTAGGTATGCTTTACGACACGCGATAATTCCTGATGAAGCACCATTGCTTTTTTGAGACGATCTTAATGTATTTTAGATTAACCTATTCTCAAGACGGCATTATCTTCTCATAAATTGGGTGTTCCGGGCAATTTAAGACATTCATCTTGTCGCTGGATACTTTTTTTGAGAACGTTATAAATGTTTTAGCTTTTCAAAGATTCATATAAATAATATGCAAAATATTAATACGAATGTTTTATTTTTATCGTTCAACTTGATCTGTTGTACATTTGTAATCAAATATTCAAAAAACATCCTACCTCACCACACTGCTTTGTCATGGTAGCTGATAAGAACCAGCAGCCTAATAAATGAATTACAACAATCCTAAAGCCGTTTTCGATTAATATAATGCTAAAAATGCATGGAACTTTGCAAATGAATTGTTTTTTAGTCTAATTTATTGCATTAAAATCAGTGTAACGGAGATTCTTAACAAAAAGAAACAATACAAGGTTCAAGAAATCTTGTTAGCTGCAACATCTTTGGGTTTTTCAGTTATT